CCCCAATAAGCTTAGGGAGTAAACCACCTTATATATCATTAAGCCACTACCAAACAATTATATATAATTGACTAAATAAGTTGTGAATCTCATTAAGTTCATTAAACTGCTAACAAATAGACCCTTAACTGATAAATTCTAAATCATGGTTTTCGAAAATATGAATAAAATCAAAGGTACTTCAGTTTGGCCTTTATTTTAACTTTCTCTTGTATTCCGACTTCCATACTATTTTCTCAATATAACAAGTATTTAATAGTTGCTAACCATCTGAGTTGTCTTAAATTTCTAGCGAACTACAGTGGGCTACAACCCGACCCAAATAGCTTTTTACAGATACATGATCTGAGCAGGATAAGCTGACAAGGGTCGATAGGTCTGAGTTCGTAACAATCAACACTGACCTCTTTGGAGGTGCACTAGTATGGAACTATATGATTTATGTTCAATTTTTAAAACATTTAACTGATTAAATTATTTACATCATATCTAATTCTAGGGTCAACATATTATTGTAACAATGGACAATTATTGATTCAAATAAAAAAAAAAAAAAAAAAAAAACTCTTTCTGTGCCAATGTGTGTAGATCGAACTTCGAAGTGGTCAAATCATCGTCAATGAATCATGAGATTTTTAGATATATAACCTTAAATGATATTTTAATTAAGTCCATGACATTCTAACCGAGTATAAACCCATTTTTTCTTATATAAGTCAGAAAGTCATGAATTTAATTAAGAGCTCATTTAAATGACTCATCAAATCACATATATCATGTCTTCCCGTTTCATATGTTTTTTATCGGTTTATCTTTCCTAGCAGAAAACCTCTATGCAATAAGCCATATAGATCTCTCAACACATTTTGGAGATGTTGGCCCAAATATATCTCAAAATTCACATAACAGTACAAAAACAAAAAGGGACAAATCAAGATCTTTTTTTCTAAGCAGATATACCGATAACCCATATAGCCAAATGCCGCTGGGCCAATAATACTCGTCATGATAACATGTTTTTTTCTACGCAGATATACCGGTAACCCATATAGCCAAATACTGCTGGGCCAATAATACTCATCATGGTAACATGTTTTTTTCTACGCAGATACACCGGTAACCCAGATATCGCTAAACCAATACTAATCGTGGTAACATCTTTTTTCTAAGCAAATATACCGGTAACTCAGATACAGCTGAGCTAATACTCATCATGGTAATATCTTTTCTTTCCAAGCAGATATACCGGTAACCCAAATCATGGATGGACCTAGGCTTGTGGTATAGGTGGCACATGACACCATATTATTTCTCCGTCGAAGGGTAAAAAAATTAGGTTTCGTGAACAATGCAACCATATTAATTTGTTGTGTGTCACCGTATATATTTTGAAACTATGATGAGAACAAATTTTATTTGGTAGAGTTGGTTTGCAAGGCTTTTATTCTACCCCGCACCCAAGTTCGAATCATGTAAGTATCATTTTCTTAGTCAAATGGTGTCATCCTTTGAAAAAAAATCCGTATATTTGTTTCTTATAGTCAAACGGTGTCACCGTTTTCACTTTTCCCAATATATTTTTCTTATAGTCAAATGGTGTCATCATTTGAAAAAAATTATGGGTCCGTCCCTGACACAGATACCGCAGGCCAATCTTAACGTGATAAAATCATCATATAACAAGAAAACCGACATAATTTAACACATTTACATTAAAGTCAAGTCATGAAGACGCAAATCATGTGAACAAAGAGAGATTACATACAATAAAAAGTGAAAAAGAAACATAAAAAACATAGGAAATGGTCTGTTTACAAGCATCCAAAGTGTGTTGCCATCTCTTAGGGCTTCAATTCAACAATGTGTTGGTTTGTACGGGGAATGATTTGATCAGGATTGCTCAATTTGAGCTAGCCATGGATGGACTTACCTGCAACTAGGGTTTAAGCATTCATTCTTTAAGCTTCATGATGATGATGATGATGATGATGAAGAAGATGATTGACGTAAAGAACAAGCAACAACTTGTGCCCATTGTCTCAATCTTGTCTTCATCGTCTGTGGATCGTCCCCTTCATCAACAAATCACAAAATTAGAATTCAATGAACAACAGATTAAAAGCCAAAAACAATCCAATTAGTTGAATTGAAGAGGTTTATGATTGAATATGATTGTAATTCGGTATTTTGAGGCAAAATTGGTTTGTATATAGCTTTGAATTTATGGTTTATAATTGAAATTCTAGCAAATTCATATGAAAATTAGAGAATTTGAAATTAGAGAAAAAGATTACCGCGACTGAATACGGCGGCGCGAGGGTTCTCCGACGGAGAAAACAGATCGGATTCGGAGACGGAAGATGAATATGAAGAGACGGAAGAAGAGGAAGACGACGACATGGACGATGATTTCGAGATCGTATCGTGATATTGCTTGTTGACGGTGTAATACAAACCTAACGCCGGCAAAGTACTTGAAAGTCGATCATTCGATTCATCAAACCCAAACCCTAGCTCGATACAAGCTTTGAGCTCATCAATATCCTCATCAGTAACACTCTTGTTCCGCCGCCGATAACGTTGGTAGTGTTTGTCCTTCCGCTTGAGCCATTCCTCGTCTCGGAGTATGTCCGGCGACCAAGACTTGTGTTTGTAGAGAGGAGAGGGCGGCGGCGGTGGAGGTGCGGCGGCGAGGGGGTGAGGTGGCGGCATAGACCGGTCTCCCTGACCCCTTAGGGTGGGGACCCTGTGAGTTTGTTTGGCCGGTTCTGAAATCGCAATTGGTTGGTTTGACCAAAAAAAACCCGACTTATAAAAGAGAGGGGTTGGGGATGTTGACCCCACCACGCAACCACGTAAAAAGATATATTTTATAAAATGATTTTTATTATAATTAAATAATAATTAATAATTGATAAATTATTTTTCTAGAAATATCGGCCTTCGACTTTGACGTAGTCCATTATTTGTGGGTCAATAATAGAAATTTAAAGCACCTAAATTTGTGGGTCATTATTTGACATCTTGACTCCAAGTAATTTGTTTTATACGTAGGGTTCGTTTTTAGTACTTGTAATTTTGAATTTTAAGTAAAATGTATTAATAAATAATATTTTATGTATAAAAAATGGTTTTTAAAAGTTTTTATCAAATATTTTATAATATAATATGAATACCAGTAAATATTATTTCATTGTAATTAATTATACAAGGGGCCCCCATTTCACTTAGAAATGAATCTTTGTATTCATTACGTGTGAGTTTTAATAAAGACTTCCTTTACCACCCATCCAAGGGTTGAGTTCAAGTAAGTAAAAGCATAAATTCCTTTTTTATGTCAAAAATACTCTTTATTTATTTTAAAATTATATTTTATTTGTAAAAGGACAACACTGCCCTTCATATGAAGGGCACGTAAGGCAATTAACAAAGCAAAGACAAATGTATTAAAGCAAAGATTCAGGGTCGTTTACCAAATACTTACCTGGTAAGTACTTATCGGTAAAAAGTTATCATGCTCACTTTGTTAGGTAACATTCTTGACTATCAAAATGGATTGTGGTAAACATCTTTTACCCGATAAACACTTAACCGATCTTTTACCCAATAAAAGGTTCCATAGATCATAGTGAGATTGTTGATAAGCGTCTCTTAGCATATAAGGTTTTAGTAAACGACCCTATGGTAAGATGGTCGGTAGGCCTTGACCAGGTAAGAATCAAGAGCCTCACCAAGTAGATTTTCAGTTATTATCATGCTCACCCGGTTGGCATGTGTTAAACAATCTCTTAGCATTCATAAGATTTGTATTAAAACAAATTCAAAACCAAGATACGATTGATAACATTTTGTTGAACTTTCGCTGTAATTACACTTGCACCTACATAGCAAAAAAAACCCCCAAGATTCAGTTAAAAATGAACCAAATGCAACAAGACAATGGTTTTCTTCCTTGTACCTATATCTAGAACGGGAGCTGCATTGTATATACATATATATATATATATACACACAACGGATCGTGGGAGAATAAAAGTTAAAATGAGAAGCATAAGAAGGAATTTGGACCCTTGATCACTCTTAATCTCACCCCATGAAGTGCGCTCATCACGGGAATTGATCTGGTGCATCTTGACACATCACATTAGAGTTGATCTTCAATTAGGATTGATCCAAGTGTGAAGATCTCTTCTTACTTTTCTCATCGTAACTTTCATTCTCACCGTATTTACTCATTTTCGAAGAAATCCTATGAAATTTGCAAAAAGATCACCACCAATAACATGATTCAACCCAGACACCCGGAAACATCAAAAGAAAACAGATGATCAGACTTGGTCCTTGAAGATCGATTGATTTCTTATACGGTTTATGTCGAAATCAAGATTGAACATTAAAATTTAAAACTAAGGGGTTGTATACTGAAAACTTGTCGCCTCTTACTCTTGCGCTGTCAAAGATGGTCGTTATCAGCAATTTTATGTGCCATTTTGCTCACCAAGAATACAAGTGAGGGTGGTGACTCTTACTCGGTTAGTGTGATAATCAATAATTTTACCGGTAAGGTAAGTGAGGATAATGACTTTTACCCGGTCAACGTTTTAGCCAGGTGTTGGTAAACTGCCCCCAAGACAATTTAGAAAAAGTATATGACACACTTAATTTGGACCATCCACATTTTTCAAGACCCATGCAGAATTTTGTGAAATGCACAGTTCATTCAAGACCTGCAAGTTCAAATGCATCATCAGTTACTCTATAGCACAAACAAATGGTCCAATCAAATCTCCCAAACATTGTGTTCCACCTGTTTTGGTGGGTCCCACTCAGTCCCGTCCCTGTGTTGTCCAAGTTGACAAAAACATGGGACAACAACTTTTTGATATGTGTTGTCCAGTCCTAAGGTATCAAATGTTCCCTTATGGATTTTATTGACTAGTGTAGGATATGAAGACTTGCTCTTCTTGCCAAAATTTAGGGGTCGTTTACCAAATATTTACCAGGTAACTGGTCAATTACCATACCGGTGAGCATAAGAAGGACCAATAATCTTACCCAATACCCAGTAAGAGGGAATGCAAGAATTGAAAGTCTTATCCGGTAAGATAGAGAGGTGACTCTTACTCGGTAAGTGCTTGACAAGTGATAAACGCTTACCATCAATCCATTTTGATGTCCAAGAATGTTACCTGATAATATAAATGAAGGTAGGGGTTGTTTGGTTGGTTTTCCATTAAATTCTTTATGGATAAAGTTGTCTATGTTGATTAGGAAAGTTTTTGTTTTGGATGGTTTTTTCATAGATGGTATGAGGGTGTTTTTTAACCGGGAAGGATAGGTTTAGGAAAAACTTGACTTCCTACATAAAGCTCTCCCTATAAGCTTACTAAATAAAGTCATCATTACGTCACTACCAAACAGTCATGTATGACTAACCGAATAAGCTGAGAGTCTATTAAGCTCATTAAGCTACTAACAACATGACCGTAATGACTTTTGTCAGTTTGCATTTGAAAAACAGACCCTTAGTCCTCTCTTCCATAGTTCATGTAAAACAAGTGAACGTATGAATGTAAGTGAAGTTGGTGCAAACAAATTACTAGTCAATTACAAGCAATTTATAACCCCTCGATGATTATAGGACCGAATTATAAAACGTTCTATCTAAAAGAGGTTAGATAGGTTGACCCATTTACTTAAATGGGTTTGCTAATTTTGGGTTGGATCACTTTTTACCAGCTCTATTCAGAAGTCTTTAAGGGGTTGTTTGTTTACCTTTTAATAGTTTCATTAAGAGTCATGCTCTGAATCGTTAAGAGGTGAATCTTGTTTGACAAAAAAAGAAATGATTCCAAAACCCTCTGAATAATTTTGTATCCTAGGCCTCCCTTAACCATTCAGCCCCCTAATTTCATTGTAAACAGTTACCAAACAATTATATTTCATTTTGAACTATATTATGAGAGCCTCTTAATCATTCTGATCACTTAATCATTCAGCAACTGCCAAACAGCCCCTAAATTTTTTTAATCAATGAACTAAAATTATGATGGTATTTTTGTAAAAAGCATGAATATCAAGGGGCAAAATGGGTATGGCAGCAAAAATGGTTTTCATTTCTTGCAACATCTTTATATGTATCTATACATTACTAGAATTCACAACTTGCTACAAATTCAAAAAAGCCCAAAATCTCTAGCCCTTTTGTGTGTTGTTGTCTGTGTAAATGCTACAATGCTGTACAATTTTCACATAATAGTATAATCGGAAAACCCGCATTCTTGGGTCGAAAAATTCTCATGCCGTCTGGAGAATCCGACTCCCATCCTCCTCCTCCGCAATCTTTGGTGGTGGCGATCTCATCACTTTTACCCGAAATGCTACCTGTACAATAGACGTCGAAATCAAGATTTTTGATCAAATTAGAACAAAATATGTGGTTCGACTTTAAAGGCTCCTCCATAGGTTGTCGTTCGAGATTCCTCAAGGTCATTGATGGGATTAGGGACGGCAAAAAAAACCCGCAGCCGAAGGGGAATCCCCTGGTTTGACTAGGGAATCCCCAAATTTATGAACCGGGGATGGGGATACCCTTCATCCCTTACCCTAGCCCGAGTATTGACTATACATTTCTATGTATATATATATATAGACTAAGGGGCCGTTTACCTTAACACTTACCCGGTAAGCACTTACCGGTAAGATTCAACACTATCGCTTACTTATCGGGTAAGATTTTATTCACTAAAACACATCGTATGCAACTATTTATCCCGGTAAGCGCTAACCATGGTAAGAGTCTTCGTCCTCACTTACAGGGTAAGACTCTTGATTCTTGCCTTCGCTCTTACCGGGTAAGACTTTTAGTTCTTGTCATATTCATCCGGTAAAGGTAAAGTGACTTGGTAAGTGCTTACCCGGGTAAGCGTTTGGTAAACGGCACCTAAGTATCATAATATAGGGGGAAACCCAATAATATATAAATATAATCAATCTTCATGATGAAAATTAGTAAAAAGAATTATATTATTTATTTGGTTGTTTATGGCAAACTTTTGTTGATATAACTGTCGTGATTATAAGAACTTCACTTATTAAATATCGTAATTGATATATTTGTGTTTGAACTACGTTTTTTATGTTATCTTTATACAAATGCAACGAATAAAATTTGTTTGATTAATATTTTAACATTATATGTTGTTTAAATGTAAAATTAGCATTTATATATATAATATATAAAAACATTACGTAAAAACTTAAATTGTATAGACGAGGAAAAATCCCCGATGGGGATGGGGATGGGGATTGCGATCCCCGGTAACCCGACCGCATTGCCATCTCTATTGGGAATTTTCCTGACTGTTATCTTCTGGCTCATGGGATTAGTTGAGGTGTGCACAATCTGGCTCGAACACCCGCGGTTACCGAGAATGGAAGAAAAAAGAAGACGCGATTTGACTACTGATCTAGAAAAGTCAAAATGCATCTCGTTTTTATTATGAGCAAGTGTTAGTTACCTTCTTATTTGGGCCAAACTCGAGGACATCTGATGGATGAAAACGAGCTGGGGAGTTTGGAGGAACCCGATATCGCCTATCCTCGTTACTGTAAAGTGAAAAAACTTCGGATTTTTAGATATCCCTTCATGAAAAGATGCAAGATTTACACAGATGCATGATAAATGCGCAAAAAGATCGGATTTTCTAGATATCCCTTCACGAAAAGATGCAAGATTTACATAGATACATGACTAATACGCAATAAAAATCGGATTTTCTAGATTTCCCTTCAAGAAAAGATGCAAGATTTACATAGATGCATGATGAATATGCAAAAAGATCAGATTTTTTAGATATCCCTTTATGAAAAGATGCAATATTTACATAGATGTACGATATATATCACACAGGGAGGATCAAATGAGAGCATCGTCAAAATAAGAAAACAGCCAAATCATATGTGATTTTACACATCAATTTAGTGGAAAATTACATGTGATTCAGTTGTTCTTGTGTTCTCTTACTTGGTTACTGCTCTCGTATGAACCTGACTCTCATGTATATAGAGAGAGATTTGTATTTGAAACTCCCCTCTCTCTATATATATGTAAAAGGGATCATATCTACTAGATATCTCTTCATGAAAAGATGAAAGATTTACATAGATGTATGATATATATATGTATATATAAATATATATGCAAAAAGATAAAATTTCTAGTATCCCTTCTAGATTTATGATAGATATGCAAAAAAAATCAGATTTTCTGAGAGTTTTGCGTCTCTTTAACCAACTTACTCGGTGATATAGGTACCATTTTCACTCCTTAAATCCGTCACAAAAAAGGCGCCATCTTTGCAGCTTATTCGAGCATGTAGTTTTGAAATCTAAGATCAAAGAAGAACGCTACTTAGCAATGGCGAACCAAGATGGTTTTATCGAACAAGAATAATGCGAAACAAGCGAAAACGAACCTCTGGTGACGAGATGACTATCGAATTTCCAGGAATACTCGTATGTGGTATGCTCCTATAATCAAGAAAGATTACCCTTCAATGCAAATTCGTTTGAACAGATTTTGAACTCTCTTGAGTTCATCACAAGACTTACCCAACAATGCAGGGTATTTTCTCGTCACGGCTTAATGAGATAGGCGCGGAATCAGCATTCTGACTTCCAACCGGAAGCAAAAACCAACTACAAAACAGGAAGAGAAGAAATTTCAAGAAAAACCCTTCAACATAAGTACGTACATGAGGCGAACCATTACTCACTCGCCACTAAGAGCACGCTCCAAAGCATCATCATCTCTAAACCAGTTTTGCAGTTCATCGTTTGCCTGCATAATCGGTTTTTCCGTTAATTTTTAGAAAGATACACACTACAACGAAATCAGTTTTATAGGATGCCTTATTGTCTCCCAGTGTCCTAATAGACTGCTTAATAAAACTACCTATTAGTATTTTTATGACACTATTTGAAAAGTGTCTTGTATATAAAAAAAGTGTGTTCATGGGACACTTCTCAATTTTGTCTTCTAAAAAAAGCTAATAGAACATCTCTATTTCAAAAGTGTTCTAAAAAACTTGTTAGGATGTCCAAATACGTCCTAACATCCATCCTATTGTAACACCGGACAGACAGTTGTTTGATCCTATAAAGCAGTCTATTAAGACATTTAGACATATTTGGCGTCCTATAAATCCGATTTTAATGTAGTGACAAGGACCTGAGTTATTTTACTTTATCAGTAAGTCTGCATTGTTGTGGTCTCCCTTCAAGCTTTGAGCTGCAAAAGAAAATATAGAAACTTAGAGCTGCAAAAGATGAAAAAAATTTAAGTTTCATAAAAGGATTCTCAGATAGCACTCACCCATTGCCACCAAGAACCCAACTAAGCATCAATGGCATTCCAATATCAATGAAAAATCTTCCACCAACTCGTCCAGGATGCGGTATTCTGAAGTTTGTTAAAAACTGGAAAACAAAGATGTTATACACCAAAAAATCTGGTAATGGTTGTCAGGTTTTGTGTAATTTGAACGGGTTTTTTTGTAACTCGTACCGACAATGGGCCAAGCCCGACGCCCAAATAAGCCTTGTAAGTTGAGGCCATTATTGCAGCCATTCTTGCCAATCCGTGAATAACTGCAACTCGAAGTCTTCTGGCATCTTCATATCTGAAGAGATGAAAAGAAAAGTTAAAAATGGCTAGAGTTTCTTTTAGATGGTCAGCGTATGCGTATGAAACAAAGCTCTTGATCCAGTATATACTGACTTGAAACATAATAAAGTGTTTCACAGAGCAGTGAATTGGATACAAGGATCCATTCTACCTTAAAAAGTCCGATTTCTATCCTTAGAAAATGGAGAAAAAAAGGTCCCATTCTACCTTAAAAAGTTGGGTTTCTTTCACGGATGAAGTCTTACCTCCTTAGAAAATGGAGAAAAAAGGATTCATTCTACCTTAAAAGGTCCGATTTCTATCAAAGATGAAGTCTTACCTCCTTAGAAAATGGAACAAAATGATCCATTCTACCTTCAAAAGTCTGATTTCTATCAAACATGAAGGCTTACCTCCTTAGAAAATGGAACAAAAGGATCCAATCAACCTTAAAAAGTCCGACTACTATCAAAGATGAAGTCTTACTTTATTAGAAAACAGAGAAAAGGATTCATTCTACCTTAAAAAGTCCGATTTCTGTCAAAAATGAAGTCTTCCCTCCTTAGAAAATAGAAAAAGAAAAGGATCCATTCTACCTTACAAGTCTGGTTTCTACCAAAGATGAAGTCTTGCCTCATTAGAAATTGGAACAGAAATGATCCATTCTACCTTAAAAGTCTGACTTCTATCAAAGATGAAGTCTTACTTCATTACAAAATGGGAAAACTGATTCATTCTACCTTAAGAAATCCGATTTCTATCAAAGATGAAGTCTTACCTCCTTAGAGAAGAAACGACATCTATAGGAGCTCCTGACTCGGTGCCTTGCCTCCACGCTTTATCAAGCTCAAGCGCTAGTTGATAGCTATCCTGTAGAAACATCAAGGTTCAACTAACCTTCTCTTGCGTTCTAATTTATGGAATGGTTCAAAACGGAACGCCCATTTTTTTCTTTTTTTGGTAACAATGGGTGTCCAGGCCAGCTTGAGCGCACCTTGACTAATTTCATCGGACCCTAAAGCCTGGAAAATCCCCAGTGACCCTTAGGAGACTCGAACTGGCGGCCTATGGATAGGAGCCCCGAGTCCTAGCCTTTATTTGGCAGTTGAGTTGGCCCTCAAGGTTTAAGAAACGCCTAAATTGCATCTAATTTATTGAGTTATAACGTTACCTCAATTGCCATGCACCCTCCTTGACCCAAGTTAGGCTGCATTGCGTGGACCGAGTCTCCAAGCAAGGTTACACGACCCCTTCCCCACGTAAATTTTGGGGTGCGATCATATATATCTCGCCTTAAAATTGCATCTTCATCCGTGGCAAGCAACAAATCCACCACATTATCACACCAACCTCCAAAGATTTCAAGTAATCGTTCCTTTTTACCTGTAAAAACATCAACAAAAGTGTCAATCATCAAGAACGGAAGTTTTAGAGTTCAATATAAACAACTATCTTAAAGAAACTTCTAAAAATCAAGCAATTTAACTTTATATAACCAAACAATTGTGCGTACTACATAAAGGTGTTACAATAAAATGTTAAGATGTATTTGGGTATCTAACAAGTTTTTAAGACACTTGTTTTTGTAAAACCTTTTCAAATAATGTCTTATAAAAAAAGACTAATAAGATGCTTTATTTCAAAATCGTCTTAAAGATCTTGTTAGGACGCCCTAAAGCATCCTATCAACTTATTGTAACACATTTAGGGGGTGTTTGGGATTGCTTATTTAAAACAACTTATGCTTTTTTGTAAAAGTGCTTATTAACTTATGAGGTATCAAACTGGAGTTTTGTAAAAAGTGTTTGGATTAGCTTATAGCGGTACGAAAAAGCAAAATGACCAAAACACCCCGGTTCATTTGAGGTTATGTACCAGTTGAGGGTTAGAAAAGAAATCAAGCCGTCTCCTCTCCGTGCGTTCCCTTTCTCGTCGCCTCCTTCTCGTCGTCGGCTCTAAACCCTAAACCAGGTCGCCGGCGATTAAAGCATCACCAGGTCGCCGGCGATTAAAGGTTCTTAACCAGCAAGATCGGATGCGATAGCCGGCAACGATGCGAACGAAACCAGCAAGAACGTCGTCTGTGGAAGTCTTGCCGGCAACGATGATGAGATGGATGCGATGAGAAACCAGGGTTAAAAGGGTAATCTGTCAAATAAGTCAAGAGGGTTTAACTTATCAAAAACGACTTATTACCGGTTTGGTACCGGTATAAGCACTTTTTTTTTTTTATCCAAACACTCCAAAATGACTTATTACCGGTTTGGCACCGGTATAAGTCAATAAGTCCGTTTGAAACGCTTTCCCAAACACCCCCTTATTATATTATATAGAGGGTACAATTGTTTGGTTCTATAAACTTAAGTCCTATTAAGCAGTCTATTAAGACACTTAGACATAATATGGCGTCCTATAAACCCGATCTTATTGTAGCAATAGATGATCTAAGCATTTAAAAGAGAGAGTACCATCGGCTTTATCAGAACCACCAGCTGGTTCGTTGTGAAATGCATACCATTGCATCTTTCCGCCACCAACATCAGAAGAAACAAAGTATTGTTTGTGTCCTAAGAACACCCGATACCTACAGAAAATACATATTTCGATCAATACAGACGTTAAAAAGATGAATTTAAGACCAAAAAGATAACACACATACCCAACACTAGTGATATCAGCGGGTATAAAATCAGCAATCCCAGTATAACAGGTGTAGCCCGAGTATGTGACATCCTTCGGCCCAAACAAATTCTTTCGTACCTGTTTATATCCAAAGAATTGTGTGCAATAATGTTAGCGTGATATCTAAAATGCACTGATAAGGATCGTAGAAAATGGCATACCTTTGACCATATTCCATCGGCACCAACTAGAAGATCGCCTTCGAATTGTTCTCCATTTTCAAGAGTCACAGAAACCTAAATTACAGCATACTGTATGAGCATCTAATACACGTGATTACAAATAGACACTATAGCAAAATCGGCTTTATAGGATGCCAAATATGTCTAAATGTTCTAATAGACTGCTTTATAGGACTTAAGCTTAGAGGACAATAAGTTGATTGCACGCTTTTGGGCGTCCTAAATTGTTTTTTTGAGAAGTGTCATATAGTGGCTTGTTTTCATAAGACACTTTTTCAAATAATGTCAAAAACATTAATAAGACGCTTTATTTCAAGAGTGTCATACAAAACTTGTTAAGACGTTCAAAAGCATCCTCTCAACTTATTGCAACACTTTTAGATAGGACGCACTTTCCTATAAGATTAAGTCCTATAAAGCAGTCTATTAGGACATTTAGACATATTTGATGTCTTATAAAGCCGATTTTGTTGTAGTGAGACCCATCCAATGGATACTGAGACGAGCTATTAGCTATACCGTAAGAGAGAAGTGAATAGGAAGTGAAAAAGGGTTCAAGATTCTACCTTGTCACCATGATCTTCGAAGTTTACTACATTGCTACCATTCAAAATGATATCTTCTCCAACAGCATCGGCTAGAATCTTTTGTAAGGTCATTCGGCTTATAACTCGGGTAACTGGAAGGCCCCGTTCCACTGCAGGAGTGAATGTATCAAACTTGATATACCTGATGACCAACTATATACATCAATTAAGGTGATTGATAATGTATAAAATTTAGAACCAGAAAGGAAAATAAAGTTCACCACAACAAAATCGGCTTTATAGGAGATAAAATATGTACAAGTGGTTGTTTACTTTCAGCTTAAATGAGCTTATGGCCTGGATGGCTTTTATCCACTCAGCCATACAGGAAGGTTTCTTTACGGTTTAATCGTTAAGCCATAAGCCAAAAGGGCCATATGGAATAAGGTCGGACCCCTCACTTGTCCCCATAAAGACACCTCAAACAAATTAATACCATAAATCCCCCATAAATAATCCAACTCTCTCTCTCTCTCTCTCTTTGCCTCCCTCAAACCCGTCGGTGTTCTGTCCCTCAAGACGTACAAATTTATCCAAAAAACAACTTAACCCTTACAAGGCTCAATGAGGGAAAAATGTGAGCAACCCCTAAATGCCTTTATAAGACTTGAGTTTATAGGACCAAACAATTGTACTTCCTATATGAAGGTGTTAATAATAAGTTGATAGGAAGTTCTTGGGCGTCCTAACAAGCTATTTAGAATGTCTTTTAGATAAAGTGTCCTATTAATCTTTTTATATGACATTTGAATTTTTATAAAAACAAGTGTCCTGTAACAAAGATCTGTCCTACAAAAAATCTAATAATCAAGTGTCCAGGAACCTTCCATAAAGTTTCCTTTAAAAGCTTACTAAACAAGCCACTTTCTATATAATCAAGCCACTACTAAACAGTCATGTATAACTGACCAAATATGATGCGAGTGCCATTAAGCTCGTTAAGCCGCTAACAAACAAAATCTTAATATATGGCGCCATACAAAGCCAATTGTCTTGTAGTGATGATCTTCCAATGGCAGCAAGCAAATAGGGTATCTTATCTTTGCTAATTACAATAATCTAATCCATAAATACAGAAATCTATCATAAACTGTGGATGTAAATGAAGGCTTACCAATTACCAGAAACACCATCAACCAATCCATTAATCCTTTGACCAGTGATGCAACCAGCCTTCATAACTTCATCAGCAACCTCCACATCAATGGCTTCCAAAGCAGCCAAAGCATTACTTTGAATCTGAATCGGACCTCTATACTGTCCTTCACCTCTAATCGCACTCAAATCTCTCTCAAAAACCACCACTGAAAACCCTCTCCTCTTTGCCGCCAAAGCAAACACCAGCCCCCCAATCCCACCGCCTGCCACCAGTACTCTTACGTTCTTCTTCTTCTCACCCAAAGAACCCCCACCCTGCTCCGCCGTCTCCCGCGGCGGCGCTTCCATCGCTACCGCTTTAACTTTCGAAGAAAGGCTAATCTTCTTGAACGACGACCCACTTTCTTTACATTTGGGATGATGGATTTTTGAGTGAACTGAGTGAAGGAATTCGATTGGGAACTGGGTTTTTGAGTGGAGTGTTGTTGTTGGGTTGATTGAGCTGCAAAATACATGGCAATTCGCCATTTTTGAACAGGTTCAAGAATTCAAACTTTCTTCTGGTTTTGCGATGAAAGAATTCTTAGAATTAAAGAGGAGGTTTGGAAGAGGTTATTGGGGATTGATTGAGTAGTGGTGGGGCAAGTGGGATTGTGAGCCAATCCATCGAGGAGACCTGGAACATGGAGAACCAATGATGGAGATTCTTGAAAGCCATGTGGCAATTTTCTGTTACTCCATTGTTTTTATGAAATAAATATCTTTATGGCGGTACTATAATATTTCCTAATATATTTTGTGGCATGGATTAATTGCATCTACACCCCCTATACTATCATTCAATTACAATAATGGCCCTTAAACTTTAAATTTTGTTATACTTTAACAAACCACCCGTAAATCAAAGACTATTTAGTGTCTGTTTGGTTTGCAGAATTTGGAGAAGATATAAACATATCGGTTTTCTGTGTTCAGAGGTATAGACCCCATTACAGAGGTCTCATTGAAATCAAAGTTATAGTAAAAGGGGTATATGTGGATTACATCATATGTTTCGTGGATGCAATTAACTGTTTATGTTATCTTACACCATACGCGTTTTCAAATAAAGAACTTTGTTAGGTGCTTTAAAAATATTTTTCCGTTTCTGGTCTATGAAACAAAGAGAAGTGTGATTTGGGTTCTTTGATTTAGGTATTGTGGCATCATCTGTCGCCGACGTTAATAAAAACAAGCAATTTGAAAAGACTTATTATATACAATTATAAATTTATAAATATAAAAATACGTAATAATAAATACAGAAAATGAAAGTACAGGAATTTTAGTCGATCTTTTGAGACGAGTAGTCCTTTCAAATTTATATGTAGTGTTTGCTCTAAACGTGTTTTAATGTGATTCCTTCTTTTTTTCTGTTTGGTCGATTTAGAATGTTTGGTCATTTTGTTTGTTTTCTTATCTGTCTTCACTCGCAAAGAACATTAATTGTGGAACTAATAACAAAACATAGGAAAATGAAGTCTTTAGATATGTCGAATATCGATAATTTTTTTTTTTTGAAGTATATACTATTTATATACGGCAAAATAGAACAAATAAACTCACGCACCCTCCTCACTTATGGTGAGGTTTGAACCCTTGACCTCCTAGAAGGCCAAGGACTCACATACCGCTAGGCCAAAGGCCCTTTGGTCGAATATCGATAAATTATTGTCATCAATTGTGGAACTAATAATTAAAAATAGCAGAACACTTTTTTTTAAACATTTTACAGTATCTCAATCATTTAAAATTGAAAACCATTTTACACAACAGATGTTTAAAACAAAAAAAATATATAAATTTACGCAGTGCAAACCACGAACTTGTCATATACTAAAAGCATCTCCAACAAATATGCTATAATTTTTCTAAAATGGAATATCAAAAATCAAAATCTCTAAAAAAAATTACATACAACTCCAACAGATTAACTATATTATTAAAATACTATAAGGGTATTCGCGCAATGCATCGAGATACATCTTGATTTTAATATTTCATTTTATTATTTATCTCAGTCGATGTTATAGTATGTCTTATGTGATTTTGAAAAAGTGATGATGTTTTTATTTTTGAATAAAATATAAATTTGAAGATATCATAAAAATTAGACAAAAATATATCAATATTAGTATCAAATTAACTACATTTTATGTAATTTTTTAATTCAATTTTTTTTGTTATATTTTAATTTAGGTTCAATAACGATGTAATTTATATTTTGTTTAATTATATAATATTCTTATAAAGATCATAATTAATTATTTTGTTAGAACTCGGTAATTATTCTAATGTTTTTTATTAGTGAAAAAATAAAATATTATTTATATTTTCATCTTTTTTTATTTATCTATTTTAACATACAATATTACATAATTTTGTTAGAGTAAAAATATATATACTTCTGCATATGTGTTAGAGTAGAAAAAGTATCTATTTTTAGAATCACCAAAAAATTTCTATTATAACATAGATATTGAAAATGCTCTAAACAGATGTATAAAAAAGTAACTATGAAAATGTACTCTACTAGCCCTTCCCTTTTCCATTCTATTACGTTTTTTTTACCATCACTTAGAATTGACATACGTTTTGACACTGGTTTTGTATATGAGGTTTTTCGGGTTACATATAAAAATAAGAATCAGTGTAAAAAATAACAATTTACTGTGAAATAAATTCAAGAGTAAACTACAAATTTGGTCCCTATGGTTTGGTGGTTATAACACCTTTGGTCCTTACAATTTTGAGATTACAAGATGATCATTATAGTGTGCAAAAACGACTGGATTTGGTCCCTTCCTCTAATAACTGTTAAAATAAATTCGTCAAAAGTGAGGGGGCATTCCTTATATACTCTCATTCTGAAGTGTAAATAGAAAATAATATCCTTTACATAATTATTTTTTATATTTTTCTCCTCCGGTCATCTTATCCGGCTAAACTCCGACAATCTTTTTCAGCCCAAATTTAAAATCCAAAATTAGAATCAAATTTCAATATCAATTCAAAATCCAAACTGAACCAACAATGATATACCTAATCGATGAACCTTAATCCAAACCAAAATCAAAATAAAACTCAAATCCAAAATCGTAATTGATGTTATCTTGGATGAAGACCGAGAATTGGGGACCCAAATGTTAATGAAAAGCTAGAGAACATGAAGGAAATTACCAACACTCTTGAAGTTCTATGCCTAAACTCTGATCGAGAATTAAGGGTTTGTCCCAAATCTAAATTCTAATCGATGATCGAGGCCCCCTCCTCTTTTACACGTTGTTGCTCGGTTTGATGGCTCTGGCCTTTATACCATTCTGATCGATGACCCAAGACCCATACCTAAATTTTTCCTTTGATTAGTCTCAACGACGTGGGGTACCAATGGTGTTTACCGATCAAGCACCAACCAGAATAACAACTTATCACCAAACCTCATTGTCTTCATTAACCTGCACCACCAAAAGCTTGACGAAGAAACGTAAGCAAAAAAGCATAATTTAAGAAAGAGGTCCATAGCCAATTTTCCATATGAAATCAAAAGGTGCGTTGATTAGCGTCTTTCTTTTCATCCTTCTTCATTATGTGTATATGGCCTTTTTTTTGCCCTGGTGCTCATTTTGTATACTGGAACCCTTTTTCTAGCCTCCATTGTTGGTCTCTTCCCTTCCCCCTTGCAAGTGTGGTTTTCTTATAGATTATAACTTTCAGAGAAAAATAACTTAGGACATTAGACCATACATCTTTCTTGGTATATCCAGATAATAGGTAAGAGCATAAACTGAAACATTCTGAGCAGATAGATGTTGGACAACGATGAAGTCCTGGGAGTTGGTCGTCCCTGGTGGCAAAGTGGGGAAGGAGTTAGGTTGGCCAACGACGAAGGTGGGGGAGTTGGTCGTCCCTGGAGATGAAGTGGGTGAGGAGTTTGGTTACAATGTGTATATTAGAGTAAGTTGCATTTATAGTCCCTATAATTTACGCGCGCACACACACATATATATGTGTGTGTGTGTGTGTGTGTGTGTGTGTTAAGGAAGAATATATAAAAGTAGGCAAAAGACTAAAATAACCCTATTTAACGAAGGGTTGTAACAGCTGTTAGAGGTAGGGATCAAACTTGGATTGTTGCACACTAGTTAAGCCTCAGGAGTATGTAGTGAAAAATCTCACCTACTCCATGTTCGAATCCATACGCTACTACATCTCTTGTGTCCATGAAGGTTCACTTGTTACAAAAAGAATAATGCTACTAAAACAGTTTTATTAAAACATGTTTGCAGTTACTAAACACTTTTACATATACTATATACATAGTTAACCGAGAATTCTACAACTGTTTCGTGTGATGGAGAACACCTGCTACACTAATATTAGACCTGCCAGTCTGCTGCTACACTAATACTAGACTCAGATATAGGTGTTTGCAACGTGTACAACTCCTACTAAAATTATGATTCACTTTATTTTTCTAAAATTTAGTCGACGTATCAGTTTGTGCTCCACTCGCATACTAAAAATATTGTTTCGTGCATAACATAACTGATACATTAAAAACATTGATAGCGTGCTAAAAGATTTTAACACATATTATGCACAAATTCTGAAAATCAAACTAGTCATGTATGTCGCTTTGTACTCACATGAATATTTACCCAATCGCAAAGGCTTCTGAAATTAATTCGTTACAAAAATGTGATCAACACGGGCACCTATGTAGTGTAACATACATATAAGTTCCCATACATATTGCTAAGCACTATTGTTGCACAAACACATTGAAAGTATACGAGTTTAAATAAACCTGGAAATCAACAAAAGTTGAACACAAACTTTTGATTTCACTTTCAACCTTGTGTAGACCAACACGAGCTTAGGTTTGACCTTGCCTACAATCAGAGTCGTTATTTAGCATGTTAAATGTGTATTTTGAATAGTGCCCTCATAATTTTGGGGCCCTATTTTACATTGTTTAAGGCCTTTCGCCAATGAATGTAAAATTATAGGCCTACATCAATGTCTCTCTAGTTTTTATCAGAAGACAAAAACAATACGCTTCATCTATAATTTTTGTGTGTGTGTGTATGTGTTTGTTATCTCATTTTTCAGTGTAATCAAAGTGCAACAGGAACTCCAAAAAGATTGGAACATCCCTGCCTATAATCTAGCATGCATTAAACACTACCTTGCACTTGGAGTGGTAGACTTCGGATTTTCGCCGAGCGGGTGCACGTTTACATTAGATTAAATTTCGGTTTAGTCCCTTTAGTTTTAGAATATTTCAGAACACCCTTCTACTTTTAAAAATTTCATTACAAAACCATTAAAAGATAAAAAGAAATAGCTACTACAAAAGAGCCTTGGACCTAAGACCTCCAAGAAGAGGGGTGCACCTTTACCAAACTACAACAACCATCGTGCCAGATTCAATTTGCTAATGTAACTTTGGTTTTCAAAACTGTAAGGGCATACTTATAGTTAAGCGGGTGCACCACTTTAATGTCTCGTTTTTT